CAAAGATAGAAGAGATAGAAGAAGAAGAAATCCAGACAAATATAAAAAATATATGTAGGAACCGTGCAAGTTCGTTCTGTAGTGCCCTTTTGAGGAAAGAAGTAAAGAACCACAATAGTTTGAGCGGACCCGATCTGACGGTAGTACGCATGTGTCGGACAATCAGTTCAATTAACAGGTGTGGCTGACTGATCTGACGAACCATCAAACCAAAAGAACATGTATGTGGGTCACACAAATACTCAAACTGTCGGATCAACTGTTTCATGGATGATCTTAATTAGGGACTAGGTACATTTCCTCCAGTCTACATAGGTCAGTGACCTAAGGTCACCTTGTAATGGTATCACTAAGTACTCAATTGTGGTTTGAGGTAAGTAAGTTGAAGTGGTTTATTTTGACCATAATAAGCTTTCTTTTTTTGAAGGGGGAAAATCATCCAATGCCTTCTCTCGCCCGGGTGAGGCCACAGGTGTCAGATTGTTACTGACTAAAAACCTTCCCGTTCCTACTACTGCACTTCGAACCGGAGCCCCGGCAATCCGATAAGTACTCCGCGGCTCCGTATCGGCATCAGTCCTATTGGGCCCCATTTATGGTGTGGTCTGATGGCTCTATGAGGTACGCGTGGAAGGGGACTCGCCGTACGCTCGAGTCTGGTGACTGGAGATCGTCTCGCGACGCCCAGAGTGTCTCTCGCGACCGCTGGGGCGTAAGGAGGTTCATTGCCTCACGCGCCCCGCAACCTCCTTAGCTAGCATGACTGCTTCGCAGAAGGAGAAGACGGCACCCCATTTCCCCTCGCTCCGTACCATAATAGTCTGAACTAGAGCCGGACGCGGGAAATTGTCGTCACCGATCACATCCCTGAGGACACGGCGGTGCTCAGCCCACGCAGGGCACACCACCACCGTATGCTCCACCGTGTCCTCTGGCCGGAGCCATAATAGCACGAAGTGCTCAAAACGAATAAGAAATATGTCAAATAATCAACCTTTTCGATGAACTCTCTCTTCATCCAAGACGCATTAAAGTTGATATGTTCCAAACCCAGCGACTCCCACATTTCTGGGGACATAGCATTCCATTCACACCAATGATCTGGAGATATTTTGTCTCCCTTAAGAAAAGGCACTGCAATTTCCGCGTGAAACACTGTATCGTTAGCGGCCCAAACATAAGCTTGATTGAGGTCGCAACATTTCACCTTAAATGTATGAATAAATATGGCAATTAGATATTCATGTAACCAATTCATACTCCATATAGCGTGAAGGTAACAGGAGAGTTAGAAGAAGAGTAAGGTTTCTTCCGGTCATGGAAGTCTTACTCTAAGTAAGAGATGAGGATAAGATGTTGATCCAGTCTACCACTTATTTAGTTGGACACTTGGACAGTAAACAAACGGCTTATAATGATAATGCAGTTAAGCAAGACATAATACAGACGTATAACACGAGCAAGAACTACTAAGTAAAAGGTCATGGATAAATATAATGCCAACCTTTAAAAATTCACTCAAAGTAATTTTTGCAATAGATCTTAAAGGTGTTGTGGCGAACAACATATCTTGGGGCAATGTTTTTGCCACAATCATCAGAATATCTAGAACCAGTAAACCATCAGCAAGTATTATAGGTTTTCTGGGTTGTATTGTCTCTCCCGTGTCCTCACCGACAGCTGGTTCATCTGGTCCCTTAACTGTTGGCGGTTTTGCTAAATTTGAAGCTATTTTTATAATCAAGTAGAAATTATCGAATTGTTCATTTGCTTTCTCTTTATCTAAATCATCATCCTCCTTGAAGTCAAATTTGTTAGGATTTTCAAAATTTGTCATGAAACAAAACACATCAGCGTCTGCAAGACTATAAATTAAAATTAATAATTTCAAAGCTACCAATTTTGTTCCAAATTAGGTACTTCAACATAATTTCTTCAATATCTCAACTTGCCTTGGTAAATCCGAAGTTACACTAACGCTGTTGTAACATGGAAAAGCACAAGCAATCAATTCTTGTCCTAAATCGTTCGCAGCATCAATTTCATTCGCATAAACTAATAATATCAAATCAACTAATTGACTTCTTCCAAAACTTACTCCCGATAGTATTTTAGTAATTAATAGTTGTGATGCTGGTATCAATGGATTTATCATCATGACCCTCACAGGTGGACTAAATTTGATCGTTTGAAAATTCATTTTTACACGTGTATTAAATTAATCAGTGCACAATTAACTACAAAAATATTCGAGATTCGTTTAATATTTGACATGAATGACAAAAAGTCTGTTTTTCATAAGTTAACAAACTCTTTTCAAAAATAAACTATTATTGAAGATAAAAACGAAAAATAAACAAAATGAATCTAAAGCAATAGTTTAACGAACTGTGTTTTCCATGTCGATAACATGTTAATTATTCTAATGATAATTAAAATCCTGAAATAGTATCCTATTTTAATAAACTTAAAATAATGTTAAAGCGACACCTATGTAACAAAGCAAGTACCATGAAGTCAGGGCAAGTAGGCAGTGAAACTGCTTCTTATCGAGGAATGACATGAAAAATTTTCTATATAAATAGTTAAGTAGGTAAATGCAGTCCGCGGCACGAACCATCACCAGATTATTTTAACGTTGGGGTTAATTCGTGTCTTTTCTGATTATTATTCCTCATCTTGAAACAGAAATATTTTTGGTATCTATGGTGGCCTTCAAACTTATTATCATTTTGACTTTGACAACTAAATTGACAGTAGTGTCAAGTGACATAACATTGACGCGTTTACTTTTTGTTGTATTTTGCTCGAAATGTGGGATGTTTCAGTGATAAATTGTGTTTAAATAAAAGATATGGCTTCCTCTAAAGAAAAAGATGTTGATGTTTCACCGGCTACATCAACAACTTCAGTGAAATCTCAGTTCTTCGATAGATCTCCGTCCGTTTCATCGTCAAGGGAGGATAAATGGCCGGAACTCTTGTTATCCAGGCCATACAAGTCCTATTACTACAGTTCGAAGAGTAAGTACCAACATTTTATCTAAATAGAATAGCAGCACAGTGAAAACTTATAAGAAAATCTGCGAAACTGTTTTAATTTAATGTAGTCTGTATGTATGCCAGATTATATATGTTTGTGTGTTGTTGCGGATATCACGTCGCGTGACCGCTACATTGATAAACGTAACAGGCACAAATTCGACATACAAACAATGATAGCGTTTTTTATACACAACTAAACTGTATTCATCCTGCAATAATCAGTAAAGTTTATTATTACGTAAATCATAAGTACCTACTATACTATAAAGAGAACATTCTAAATGCATATTGTATTTTACTAGTCGTAAAATTGTACAACATGTAACACAAACATGTACACTGTAGAAATCTTATAAATATTTTAACATAGTGTATTTTTGGAGATTAAGTTAGCTTAAGAATGTATAATTTATATCTGAATCAACAGTCAATAATTTATCAATAACCTGTTGCTATCTCTACCTATTATCTATAACTATTATAGTAAGAACAATAAGCCCATAATATGTATGTGAAGAACTAATATGAAATAGTACTTTATAATGAAAACTCGACTCTCCATCTGGTACAGTAGATCAACCTACAGCAATATGTCAAATTTATAAATTATATTTTACTTTATGTCAATACCATAAAGTTGTAATAGAAAAATTTGACAGAAAAGGATAGCTTCACAAATTCAAATTTATTTATTTGCAAGAAAACATGTAATATTAATACACACACATAATTATTTGTGTGTACTAAAAATGCAAATGAACATCTGGAATCACAAAAGGCCGCTTGTGACAAATCTTTCAGAAATGTTTCTTATTAGGTCTTTCATTGATATTTCTTGACTTGTAATTACAATCCTTTAAAATCCTTTATTTGTTTGTTAAAACAAAAAAAATGTGCTTTTGATATTGATCTTCCCATATAACGAATAATGAAATGTAGGTATTACTTATATGGTACAATAGTTTTTGAACAGCAAAATTACCATAATTTATGCAGCATACATTTTGTTAAGATAACTACTTGCCATACCTACTTATTACCTTAAAATAATATCTTTACATTTCATACAGCTGTTAACCCAACATATTTCATTCCTTATTTCCCTAGTCTGGTTAAACAAATTAACTAAGCTTTCTTTGTTCTGTAACTACTGACAGTTAATAAGCTAAAGTATAATATCAGTTTATTCTAGCCTTTCTCAACAAAGAGTTGTGTAAACAGAAGTGAACCTCAGTCAGGAAAAAAAGGTGGAAAGCAAATTATTAATAGCAATAATTTTAGGCCACACCTCTGTAAAATTTCACTGATTAACTCGTTGAGTACCGTCATTATAGACACAATTAAAGAACAATAGGTTGCAGTCACCGGTGACCGCTTGGTGTTTAACAGTTTAAATTAAAATTTGTAAAAAAAATCATGAGGAAGAACCCCTTCGTGGTTCTAAACTAGTCGAGCTTTTCTCAGTATTTTCAAATGAGTAATCCACGATTTGTAGTTAAAAAATATTATGAATGAGTTCCGCTCTTCATTTCATGTACCAAACCTAATAATACATTCCATGTATTCAGATGCTGAGTGCATGGAAAGTATGGAAACCATACTAATTGTTTTACTGAAAAATAAATTACTTTGATTGCATTTTCAACCTTATGTTAATAGTTATTAGGAGAAAAGTAGTAACTGGCTATCTGTCTTTTATGTCAAAATAGAAGTAGATAAATGAGAAAAACTTTATCCCCAAGAATACTTTATGTTCCATGCACTGTTATATACCGTAATAATATCTATCCCAACCAAAAAAATCTAGTTAGTTACCTAATTTTTGGGCAATTAAATTGGAAGCCTCTTTATCTAAAACGTTTTTAATTCACCACTAGACCTGCATTACTTTTATGACCATTTACTTTTTTTTTCTAATCCAGACATTTTTTCGTTAAAAAACGTATTTTGTAATTCAATAAAAATGTTAGGTAACATGAAATTCGTAATTTTTAATACAAATTACTTATGAGATTTTCGATAAAGAGGAAGTAAGTAATACTACAAGTTCTGTCAAAGTATTTCTGCCAAACTATTTGTGTGCACAAAACCAAGCCCTAACTTACTTCACTTTTTAAACAGCAAATATTTCTCTTCCTAAACTTGCAACTACCTAAGCTGTCAGTTTCCTCGGTTCGCCGATAGATGGCAACACGCGCAGAGAGTATTGATTTTCCCATTGTTGTAGGTGGTAAGTAGCGCTTGCCGGGAAATCGATATTTATTCTGGACGTCAGAACTGGAAAAACCATTTCGCTGAGAGTTTTTCGGGGAAATATCTCGTGTTTATCGTTATTATTATAAAGAAAGTTACAAAATACGAACTTACGCTTCGTTGTTTTGCGATTAACAAGTGAATTGACAAACAATTACTATTTTGACCTTCATAATTGCGCATCGTGTGAAATGATTATAAACGGGTGATCAAAATTTACGTGACGCTGTTGATTGTTTCGCTTGATAGTTTATTTGCTGCTTTATTATGCGTTCGCTTGCCGCGGTTCATGGGGTGGATCCCTTGCCCGAATTAGGCATTCCATCGGCCATTCAACATCAGGGTGACGGCAACCCGGACGGTGATATGGCCGGCGCGCAGGACACTATCTACCTGTGCAATTTCCGCGTATCCGTTGACGGAGAATGGCTCTGTCTAAAAGAATTACACGATATGGAAATGCAGGATTCATTCCATCGCCCATCTGCCCAAGGCACCATTACATCGCCTGACGATCCGATGAATACTTTGATGGGTAAATTGCGCAGTAACAATACTCTTAGTAGTAGTAATGACAATAAAAACAATTTATTGTCATCTGTTGTAGCACGGGATCCTGTTGTAATCGAACGCAGCAATCTTGTGAACATCTCGAAACTAATCGTGAAGGAGCTGATCGAACAATCTCTCCGCTATGGTAGGATGCTTGACAGTGATCACTTGCCCCTGCACCACTTCTTCATTGTGCTCGAGCATGTTATGCGTCATGGACTCAAACCCAAGAAGGTAATTATTAAAAGACTGACATATTCGTTTGTGTAATAAACTAAAACTAATTTCATTTTGTGAGATGAGTCATTCTTCACTAAAGAATTCGTATCAAATATTTCATATTATACACTCCTCCTTATTTTTGTCAACGTAGTCACGTTGGAGTCAAATTCCCTGGTGTAAAAAGTCCTTGTTCATGAGTACTATAATAAAATTGAGAATTCTGTTCTTATTTATTAACACTCAAAGTTTTTTTAGGGATTACTTGGACCCAAGAAAGAGCTATGGGACATCTTGCAAATGGTTGAGAAATACTCGCCGGAAGCCGCGGACATTACGGCTAGCGTCAGGGACCTCCCCACTGTGAAGTAAGTTCATGTTTTGTCACTGTACTGTCAAAAATACAAATTAGCAAAATACCGCACACCAGATGTATAATAGAGCCTGACAGTGTTAAATTACATCGTTACCATTGCAGGTTTTCTTTCAAATTGGAAATACAATGATAACAATATCATTTTGAATACCATAAAGCATTTGCATTTCCGGTTCTCGAATTTGTTAATACATTAGAACCGTTAGTATTTGTGAAACTTGTTTTAATATAACTTTCAGACACATCAACAACAGGTCTCAAATTAAAAATATATTGAAATTCTTTTGTAGGACCGCGATGGGTCGTGCTAGAGCTTGGCTGAGGTTGGCTTTAATGCAAAAACGGCTGGCCGACTATCTTCGTATTCTCTTGGAACACCGTGAAGATACGTTGGAAGAATACTTTGAGCCCCATGCTCTGATGCTCAATGAAGAAGCTGTCATCATTACTGGTCTCCTAGTAGGCCTCAACGTCGTCGATTGCAATTTGTGTGTGAAGGTAATTCGTCAGCATTTTAGCAGCACCTTTACTTTTTAAGGTTTTATCAAATGTACATTTAGCTCTTGACTTTTTTCGAGAATCTCGCGAATAAGACCAGAATTTTTAACGACTTCAAAAAAAGGAGGAGATCCTATGATCTCCTACGAGCAGCTAGCCGCTTACATCAATTTTAATTCATTTCCTGCTTTCCTTGTAATCAACACAGGAGGAAGATCTAGACAGTCAACAAGGCGTAATAGACTTCTCGCTTTATTTACGCGGCAGTAATTCGTCCAATGACCTAGCCGGCAATGGTAACGGTGATTCAGAACCGAAACAACGCCACATCAACACAATGCTAGACCAGAAGAATTACATCGAGGAGCTCAACAGACATCTCAAGTAAGTTTCGAATCCATTGTTTTACTTTCTCAAGCTAATCTAGTCGTATAATTAGTTCTTTAACGAATAGTTTTCTATTTAAAATTGTTTCGTAAGTGTCTCATTAGTAAATTATATCGTTAATAAAGTTGCTTGGGCTTGGCAAAGCTAAATTATATTTACGTCGTAAGTAGTACCTATACTACGGAAAGAGACAATTATGTAGGTATATGCAATGTTAATGTGGGTTGTATCGCTCGTTCACATTTTTACAGCCTCTATTCAGATAACTTAGTACACATTAAGTCTCATGGGAAACATGGGATTCTGGTATAATTTTGTCATGTTTTTTTAATATTTAGCTTCCCAATTGTTGGCAAGCTTTGTATATAAATAAGTAATATTGTTGAAGGTGAATAAAACACGACAAGGTCATGAGCGAACGTTATAGTTAACCCAGTTCATAGACCCGAACGATTTGAATTGGTAAATACCATTTCTAACTAGGTAGATACTATTACCTTAGTGGGTACACTACTCCATGTAGTACCCACCTTTCCTCCTTTTTCAGAACATCAATTAGAATATACCTAGAGACTCATAACATAAATAATGAAAAGTGTGTGTTACATTGTACAGTGGCATTTATGTGCCGTATTGTGCACCTCTACCTACCCCTCCGAGGATAATAGGCGTGATGTTATATTATGTTAAACTATAAGGTTTTCATAATTCGAGTGGAATATTTTAGTCTATTACGTACCAAATAATATAACTTAAGAAGTAACAATTGTATAACACTAAAAACCATTTATTTTAGTGCAACAGTAGCAAACCTCCAAGCTAAGGTTGAGAGCTTGACTACAACGAATGCATTAATGAAGGAAGACCTGGCAATATCCAAAAACACGATGATTCAATTAGTTGAGGAAAACAATCAACTAAAACATGCTCTTGGTGAGTAGCTGAACAATTGACAAAACATTTTCATTAGTCTATACAACACTCTTTAGATACTAACGCTAAGAATGTTGTACGAATTTAACACGTAGGTTACTTAAATTACTAGTGTCTTCGACGATCGAATTCGTAAACATTCTTTTCCAAATTGACAAACTTGCCCCGAGCTCCTTAAACTTTCAAGCCTTAAAGATTAAATTAATATAAAATTTAACATGTATATTGTTGTTGCTAATCTGCCAAAAATTAGGGCAAGCAAAAGAAGGCGCTTTTTATTTAGGCCATGGAAACATATTTTTTGTAAAAAAAAAACATTATCAATCACCAAACCATCCTTATTTATTAGGTACTCAAAACATCAACGATAATAACGGTAGCAAACGGAAGGAAACCAGTCATGGTCATCAGTATTTAGTAGCGAAAACACCACGCGAATAACAATAATAGAGAATTCAGTAGATAACGACACCTTGCACTAATGAGTCAGCCTCAATTGTATCGCTTAGTAGACATTAGTTCTCCGGCCGGACCTGTCGTCCACGCCGTATATTCTGCCAGTAGTGCCAGTTACTATAAACCCACCGCGCTCAACAGTTATGCGATATAACTCCGCTTTAATGGGCAACTCAACATCAAAAAGTCAAACAAAATCTAATTTTTGGATCAAATCCTGTGAGTTATTTATGTACCAGTGTAAATATATCACGGTGCAGTCTGTGTTTATTTGTATGTTGTCTAAACACGTGTGCATTTTTTGTGCAGGGCAAGACATAACCAAAGACACCAGGATGAAAGTGACGGAATTGCAGTCTGATGAAGAGGTAAGATAAACAATTTGTCATTGTACCTAAATTAAACGTAATTATTTTACTGTTTACCTTATAATATAACTTTTCCATGTCTTGTTTAAACCACGGTATGGGCTAATTTACCAATGTAGTTGTGCCAGATTTAATTGTATGTTTTGAATTAATTTACCTGTTTTGTATAACTTTATTTACTGTTGTTAAAACTGTTATTTGGCAAAATATATCTGCTGATTAACAACGATACACGTAGTTTCGATGATGTCAGCGATTATCTCTCTAACGATAAGACAATGTAATCATTTGTACACACTTTCTTATTTAACAAAACAGAAACGGAAAGTTAAGAATTACTCGTCTAATTAATTTAATAGTAAAGTCTCCTTAGAAGATTCTCTACAAAATGTTGTCTTTTTTCGGCACCAAAAATAGTGTTACGGCTTCGCGGTCGAAACAAAATGGAAATAGATACATAACGTGCGAAACGCGCGCGATTTTAAAAATAGAGGCAATAAATTAACTCTCTTCGTTGGTCTCCTAAGCGTCTAAGCACGTGTGACTTTAATTTCCAGGAGAAACGTAGCGTCAAAAGTGTGGCTTCTGATAAATCCAAAAATGATAGCGAGGCAAGCAAAAATTTGGAAGAAGAAAGGAAGAAGTATTTGGAACTGCAAAGGGAACTGGATTTACAGGTATAGTACATACAGTCGTAATTTGTACATCTTCAACATTTGCTCAAACTGCGAAGTCAAGGCCGCAACATAATGCCAGTGGCCGCAGCCGGGTCACAATAACTTTATTCTATTATGCAATTACCTGTCTGCCTAATAGCTACCGAAATCCATTACATCACCATAATGGCCATAGCGGAAGCTATTCTAAGAAGAAATTTCTCATAAAACACTTTAATATTTAATCTCCAGATTTCACTCAAAGCAGAAATGGAGGTGGCAATGAAATTGCTAGAGAAAGATATACACGACAAACAGGACACAATAATATCGTTGAGAAGACAACTCGACGACATAAAACTAATCAACCTAGAGATGTACAAAAAATTACAGGTGAGTTATTTACTCTTAATTCACTAATACGCATGTTGGAACCTATTAGGATTTTGTACCCTTAACTCTATCACTGGTTGACCAATCACTCGCGCTTGTTGCGTCAATCGTTGCTAACGTTTCTTCATTTGTACTTCATGGTCTGTTGATGATCAATAGATAACTGTGACACTCTTACTTTTAACTTGTAAACTAATCCGGTTTTATGCAGTGTTAACAAAGGTTAGTGTTAGGTACCTCGTTGTGTGTACCGTGTAAATGTTATAACAAAGACGATGCCCCGCGAAGGTCGCTCGTCAGGCGTGGGTGCCCATCTAACACTGCTTGATTCCCGCCCATGCATACTCATTATCCCACCAAACTGATTAATGATTAACATGCCTCTTTGTCTCTAAAACATTGTATTGTATTTCTTTATGTTGTTACTTATTTCGCTTATAACTTTGTAAATAATGTATTTATTTATATTTAGTTTCTCTTTAGTTATTTATATATCTGTATCCTATCTTTGTTTATGGTTCACTGACCTCTAATTTGCTACTATATATTATATAACCTATACTAATACCATACTGTATTCACAATGCCGCGGTTGTCGCACGGAAGGAATGCGAGATGGAACTGACGCAGAAGGGCGAAATGGTGTCGAGGCTCCAGGGGAAAGCCGAACAAATTGGCAAAATACTTCACAACCTTGAAAAATATAACCACTTCTTAGGATCCGATAATGACTTAGTTAAAGCTCTCAGGTCTCCTACAACTAACGAAAATAATTTAGGAGAAAAGTTAGAAAAATTGAAAGCTCAAAGTAACGCGCAAAAGGGTACAAAGTCTAAGGATGAAGGCCCGCCTCATAAAAAACTAAATCTCCAGGAAATACCACCGTTCCGTAAGAATACTATGAGAGACAAAACTGTCAATCAAATCGCGGAGTAGTCTCCGATGTTAATGCAATTGTTAGTGTAAAATATAAACGTTTTATTCACAATTCGGGTGGTATTTCCTGTTCCCTAGAAAATTGTTAATTACCTCCTACTAACACATTTTAATATCATATATTGTTATGGTTATGGTGATATTGAGGATAATATAATGGTTATAAAATTATGAAAATTATATGCATTTACATAGTGTCTAAACATTCATACATTACCACTGTATTAGCCTCAGAATAAATTATCTATATGAACTAACAACAGCATCTATCTTATACTAACTTGCTTAGACTAACAAAAATGTTCTCACTTCTGCTCAAATGAGTTGTCATTTTATTCAGCTAAACTGTATTGGCCTTGTTTTAGGAATGTGAAAGTTCCTTGAAACATAAAACTGAGCTAATAGCCAAATTGGAAGCAAAGACTGAATCAATGGGCAGCACCATACATCAACTCGATGAGAAGTAGGTTTTACTAATTTTTACTTTGACATCGCATCAGGCGGGTTCCGACCTGCGATCATCCGCAAGGATCGAAAGAGTGCCTGGATAATATTACGCTGTTGAATGTAAACTAAGCGCTTGACATATCAGTATATCAGTACTCGACCGCACTTAGGTGTGAGCAATGCACAGCTTGCGTGTGTCAACTAGCGGCAACTCTTTCCATTCGCTCGATATTGGCAAACCCTCACAATGAATTAGTGAATGCAAAAATCAGTATTTTGATAATATATTACAAATGATTCGATGATGACGATCATTGTTAAACTTAATGCTACTGTTGCTTTTGCTTACTTGCTGTGATTCGTATAAATATTCAACTGTAACGTTATGTTAATTCAGACCAAGTTTGTGTTAGGTTTCATCGTTGATTTTTAACTATTAATTTATTTTAATGTGTTAATAAATTGAACTCCACAAAATATTACTTTAATTATTAGGTATATTGTTAAGTAAGACTATGTTAAATTGATATTTGTTAATTATTTTCGATTTAAAACAGATTAAGGTCTCATTTTTTTATATTTATGTAACATTAACTAATAAAGTACCTGTATTAGTAGAATAGTGAGAGCGTGAGGATTTGGTAGTGCTATTGAAGAGATTGGTATTTTGTATACTTTTCGAATAATTATTATCAAGTTACATTGTATAGAGTTTGACTACTTTGGAAGGGTATTTGATCTCATTTGATTGGAGTAGCTACTTGTGCTTGGAGACTTGAATTTCTATAATTGTATACAATAATGTGCTCGTTATTATCTAGCAGCAATGTTAATTAAAACCATAATTTAGATAATTATTTTCTTTAATAGTTTTGTAATTACGAGGCGGTAGATGTGTAATAAATAATAGCCTTATTTATAATAAAGCATATTCAGTCGCATTTTGTATTTTATTGAACTTGAAATCCAAGGAGTTTGCTTGTTTTAATTTTGTGTTTATTGTGTAGGTTTGCCATTATCAGTATCATCCCTATCACCTGTTTGCATGCTTTGTGTGACTAAACAATACCTTTTGTGATAAATGTTAACATACTAAGTGTACATTCCTTGAAGCAGAAAAACTATAAGTAAATATTAATCGATTATTACGTCACTATTACTTGTCAGTCAAATCAATGAAATCTTACCGAAATTTATTTTTGTTTGCGTAGATTATGAGTTGTCTTTTTATTTTTACTTATCAATTTAAAGATTAAACCAGTCAAGTGTCAGATTGTCTGACTCATGGAAGAATGTATACTTGAGACATAAAAACCCCGATGGACGTTAGATAAAGCAGTGACAAATATTGATAGAGCTGTGACCTACAAAAAACAAGCAGCATTCATAACAGACGCGGATCGAAAGGGGTGCACTGAGTCCTAATACTGCACAAGTTTAACATTACAGACTTCTAAAACTTTCCAAATCGTCATATAGTGGTATCATTGCACTATTAATGAAATAAATTAATCACACTTTAACTTAAATGGGTAGCCGTTTAGAGGATGACCCTACGACTTATACTAATTCCAGGATCTGGGTCATCTGCTTGATATTTTATGAAACACAAATACAATAAAAGAATTTAAGTAGATACACTTTAGAATTTGATAGCACCATCCACATAGTTTTTAGAGCTTCAAGTTCGGAGCTCTAATGGTTTAATGATTTATAAACACTGACACGAACCGGACCCCCTGTATAGAAATACATTCATCATGTTGTAAAGACTGCTGACTAGCACCCCTTCCGCACATACTGGCCTCTCTAGGTCTGAGGAAGCGTTAACTTCCAAGAATATAATTCTTCAACTTAAACAAAGGTTTTATAACATGATAGATAAATAAACCACTTTGTCCGCCTTTAACACTGCCAATAACAGCCAAAGACACTGCTAATAACACAGATATTTATAAAATAACTTATGTTAAAGTAATGTACACACTGAATAGGTTGCAAGAAGATAAGTTAGCTAGGAAGAATTTAGAAGACAGTGCTCGCTCACTGGGACAGAAGGCAGCCGCCGCGGAAACCAGGGCTGTAGCGGCAGAAGGAGACCTCAGAATAGAACGAGAATGGAGGGTGTCCTTACAAGTGAGTATTATTTTTTCTAATATTTGAGTCGACATTATACAACAGAATACATCCAGTCCATCAGTCAACTGATCATATATGTTTTGACCTTGAACCTGGACCTTTAACTCGTCGAGTACCGGTTTTGTAGACACAATTATAGAACAATAGGTTGCGGTCACCGGTGACCGCTTGGTGTTTGACAGTTTAAATAGAAGTTTTGTCATTATCCCTTGCTTAACAAGACGTGTGGGGTTGCAGTTAGGTCACCAAAAGTTTAGAAGATGTTACTAACCACCTCCGGTGGCTAGTCTTAATTTATTTAGCACATCCTAGGTTTAAACATTTTGCTACACCAAAGTTACTATCTTATTTTTACCAAACGTGAAATAAAATTGTAAATATAGTATACGTAAGAATAGTGTGTATGAAATTGCACATCATACCATGATACAAAACCACAATATACTTACAGTCTTACACTATAGCAAGATATGATTCATGAAGTCATTATCATAAAATATAGCGGCCGTGACGTACTCTGCCGTACAGTACTTATTCTAAACCATGTAATCCCATTGTACATAATAAAATAACATCTTCGTCCATTTCAAATGACGTCGGCATTATAGAACAGATTTTCCTTATACATCGTCTTTGGTAGTATAGCTACCGTATATGGAATTCTTGGGTTTGATCCCTGTGTCGGGGATCATATTATTATTTGTCATCTAAATTTTCAAAATCCCAAAATTGTACCTAATTGATTTGGCAATGAATTCGCCTTCTATTAGGGTATGTGACTCTTAACAAAACTGGAAAACTGGGCAATACGTCCTTTGTGGACTTCTGTTTATCTGAATATAACGCAAATTAACTATTATTTTCCTTATAAATGCAGTTTATTAATGATTGTTATTAATGGCTTATAGGAATCAATGATGCGGGACCGCGATAAGATATCGATGTTGACACAAGAAGTGGAGTCTCTCAAATCAATAGGACAGGTAAATAACATACAATACCTATTTATATATTAACTATAATAATAATATTATTGTTTGGTGTCTTTTATGTGTGATTCGAGTGTTTGTGTTTATTTCTTGGGTGATTTCCCTTAGTCCAACAATACGTATTGGGTTTTCAATTGTAGGTGTCTGATTACCTTATAAAGAATTTGGAATTTTGTCTGAGTTTATTTCTTGGGTGATTCCCCTTAGTCCAGCAATACGTATTGAGTTTTCAATTATAAGATTCCGATTACCTTATAAAGAATTTGGGATTTTATCTAATGTATGTGTTTTTTATGATGATGTATGTAGGTTCGTTTCTTTTTATTTGGTCTTGGTATGATATCAAAATGTAACAAAAAACGAAATAACAAACGTTCGTTTAGGCTCACTCCTAATACTTTGGACTCGAATACATGCAACAAGTGGGTGTGACATTTATTAGTGTACCTGTACCTGTCCCCGAGCATTGAATAATTCGGGGAATAAAACCGTGATGGTATGAAGTTATGTTATATTAATAAATTCAAGTACATACTTCACCATATCTGGCATTCGGTCAGGTATCAATAAACAATAATATAAATTACTAACGACATACATATTATTATAATGTCTTTGTTGTAAGACCATGTGATTAGTTGCTATTGTTTTTAAGCGTAAAACCCCAACACCTTATTTAGAGTGTGTGGTTTAATATGTGAGAATATCTTATATTCGTTTTTTAAAGACGACGTAATGATTAATCAATCGTACTTAACAGACTTCGTATGCATTTGAATTAAAATTATTACCTACTACCTACCTTTAATGGGGATAAAAAGTATCCTATGACCTAAGTCAACCCATACCCTGCCTTTATACTAAATCCGTTCAGCGTGATTGACGGGTAGACACCCAAACAAAGAAACTTTCACATTTATAATATTAATCTGATGTTTAATTTTAATTAAATAACATAACATCACGCCTTTTATCCCCGAAAGGGTAGGCAGAGGTGCACATTATGCCACTGTACAATGTAACACCCTCTTTTCACTATTTATGTTATGAGTCCCACTTAATAGGGGGTGAGCCTATTGTCATATACCGGCCTTCCACAATTCCAGACTGCGTGCTACTACTGAGAATTTTTTTTAAAAACCCAGCAACTGTTTTGCCGGCCTAGGAATCTAACCCGAGACCCCTTGCCCGGCAGTCGCACTTGTGACCACTCGGCCAACGAGGCCGTTTATTTAGGTACTATGCTAATATTATATCACTATCATTACAGAAATACCTCTCACTGCAAGAAGAACAGCATGTATTAAAGACTCAATACGTGGAAGCGCAGAAGACGCTAGAAGAAGTAGGAGCGACACTGAGCGAGAATAAACTACAACTAGCTGAGTTGTTGGAAAAGGAGGCACAAGCACAAAATGTTGAGGAGCCCCCAACATGGACGCATGATAAAGACGCCACAGCTTGTACTGCGTGTGCCAAAGAATTCTCTATTGCTAGGCGAAAAGTAAGTTTTATTAACTTACGTATCTACTTACACAAACTACTCAAGGCAAAGAACTTTATTATTTATTGGTCATACCATCATAGGCTATATTCTTAAACGCAGCAAATAATTTGCGTAAAAAAATGAAAAAACATTAATTTTAATATAACTTAATACACCGTTTTATAATACTTATGAATTTCCCTTTCCGTTTTTTCAGCACCACTGCCGTCGGTGTGGCCATATATTCTGTGCATCGTGCAGCGACAAAACAGTCGCGTTAGCTGGCAACACCAAACCTGTGAGAGTATGCGACGCGTGTTACGCTGAAGTGAGACTAACGTAGCTAATACAATTATTGTAGAATAGATTAATATATTATTAGAATTGATCAAATTGACCAACATACATTGATAAAACTTAAAATGATCTAACAATGGTAGGGAATCTGTTACGAAATTATTAAACAGTAACTAATGAGTACGCAATCGGATATTTAATTCCACTTTACTAGTACAGTGACGCACTAAACAACCGGACTATACGAGTAATAATTGACAACAGAATGTAATTTATTAAATATTTTTTATGACCGTCAACTTTAGGTGCCCTTATGTTCGTGTTATGGCGGGAATTTTTGCCTTTGTGTGCGATACACAAGAAAGTACACACATCCATCATGTCTGTTCTGTGCACTAAACGTTACGTGTCAAATCAAACGAAATATTTGTAAGAAACTATGTTAAGAAGACGGGAATTTTAAATGAACGAACTTATAACTGCCATAAAATTAAATGAATTGGTCAATTTGAACGTGTCCTTAACAGAGTTCGTATGTTGTTTATTTTTATTATTATACGTACGATAAATAAGGAAGTCAACCGAGATTTTTATAATTGTTTGTTGACCACAGCAAGTTTTAAGACTGACGTTAAACTTCAGTAGGTGAATCGTTGTCGGTATACTAAGTGGGTAGGGGTACAGCATTAAATAAATGTATCAATATAAAACTAGAAAACATCTATATAAACGTATGCAAACCTCGTGGGAGACATGGGTAATTAATTATGTACTAGAAAATACACTCAATGCGCCCTTAACTCGTCGAGTACCGTCATTATAGACACAATTATAGAACAATAGGTTGCGGTCACCGGTGACCGCTTGGTGTTTGGCAGTTTAACCAACGTACTTGTATGACGTGGTGCATGAATGTGATAGAAACTAAAGTGGATATGTAAGAATCGTAGATCTCTTTGGATCTTACCACTTGATTAGACCACTTTAGAACACTCTTCTCAGTTTTTTGTCACCATGACACCTTTCTACTATCATACCTATTCGTAATGAGTGTTTAATGCTGTATCCATTCACTTACTTAGTATCACCAGTTATTTGAATTTTAAAAGTGTTCATTACTAGACTCATGTTAATACATACTCCAAAGACTTCCTATAAAAAATGCATTAATTAAAATTACAACATTCTAATATTTCAGCTCAAATAATACTTGAAATAAATAATAATAATTACGTTAATGTATAAAAGTAATATATTTCGTTACAAAATCAGCTCGATTAATTAATTAGGCTTTCTGTGTGTTGTAGACCTTATAATATTAAAAATAATTTGCATAAAAATAATATTGTTTCTGCTACAATGTTTATTGTATTGCCATAAAACTTTGATCTCACGCGGGTTAAATGGCATAATTGGATGAAATCTAAAATGTCTAGGTTATATAGAACAAATTATGCGAATAATGTATGTTATAGTATATTATATGGATATTAACGAGTATTGATATTATTATGAGTAAAATATATAAATTAATCATTTTTTAATATACATAACTTTGTTGTACCTGGAGTTACGCATTGACAAAGATAATTCACTAGCGCATTATCGTGATTTGTCCTAAATCATTTATTTAAGATCTCCTTGCTTTTGGTATACAACTACATGAGATTCATACCACAAATGAGTATAGAAATGTATCATTTGAAATCTTTGAAGCAAGACTTATTTCTTTATAGTACAAAACATTGTTATTTATGACTATTTATTATTTCATATACGTACAATTTCTTTTAACACTTGTATTATATTTTTTTTATATATGAAATTCATATTTGTCAATGAAGATGTAAAAAAATAATTGTTACAATAAAATCCACAAAATCAAATAAAAATAATAATTATCATAGAACCGAATGAACCAAGTACAATTAATTGGCCTACAAAGAATAAATGTACTATTTTTTAACTTTGTAAATATTTATTTTAATATAGCCGTACCTTTTAACTGCCTCCAATAACGAATAATTAATTAATTTTAATTGTATTATTTTTAACGGACATCATCCATTCTGACCAATAAAATGAATTACAATAGAAAAGAAATTTAATAACCAGATTATAATAAAAGGGTCTATATAGGTTATCATAATTTTACAAATGACAAGAATGAATCTAATAAAATTAAATTTGACAGCCATATTTTTAAAATGTAACGGCAGATCGGAGCTAGTGATGTCCCTAATAGCTTAATTATGTTATAAATGAATTTGTAATGCAACTTTAGAGATCGTTTTGTCAAAATTTATTGTTGGTAGATATTATTATTATATAATGTGTGGTGCTTAAGTTATTATTATTGTGTATATTATTATATAAATGTTAATGGAAGACACATTGAATGTTGTACATAATCCGCTGTTTGTATATTAGTTATGGATACATAATCTGGACATAAAGATATCCGAATTTAATACGAAATTTGGTTTTTATTTCGCTTAAATTATAAGTACAATCTTTTGTACCTACAACAAATAGCAAATAGTCTTGCTTAACTAACGACAATAACAAAACGATTAATAATAATATTTCTAACTTCTTATTAAGGTAACACTTTATGCTAACATGATTGCAGATATGAGAAGAATAACAGCATCTAAAAATATTCCTTAACTCACTCATATTGAATGATTTCATATAACACTTTGAGAAGAGAAGAAATCTCTTCAACATAACTTCATGAAAACATAACGCATAGAATACATAATTATAGTAGTGTACTAAAAATTCCTTTATTTTTTTATTTGATTATGATTGATGATAACAAACAGATTGTACGCATGAACAAAACGTGAAGTTTTCAAATTATTAATTGCACCGTCTCGTCCATCACGTAATCTAATATTTGCTCCATAGCCTCAGGATTTTCTTCAGGCACCTAAAATATTTTATTAATGTCAGAAATTAATGCGCAAAACTTTTGCGCAATAGCTGTACTTTTTGCGCACGTAAAATCAAAAAAGAACAACAAGATCTCCACTTGGGCTAATTATATGAATTTATATAAATGACTGCCTCGTTGGCCGAGCCGGGCAAGGGGTCTCGGGTTTGATTCCCGGGTCTTACTTGTATTACTTGGGTTTTTAAAAATCTCAGTAGTAGCACGGAGTCTGGAAATGTGCCCGGTATATGGCAATAGGCTCACCCGCTATTAAATGGGACTCATAACATAAAATAGTGAAAAGTGGGTGTTACATTGTATAGTGGCATTAAGTGCCGTAATGTGCACCTCTGCCTACCCCCTCGGGGATAAAAAGGCGTGATGTTATATTATGTAAAAGTAAATGAAAAATTTAAATTTATGTTACTTTATCAAATAATAAATATTATTTTACATACCCAATGACCGGCTCCGAAGACCCACCAAAAGCTCAACCTCTTCATTTCTTTGTAATACCCATTTCTTGTTCCACGCATTCGCTTTCTTTTGGCCTTAGCAAAGTCTGCAGCCCCGTGCCATTTCAATTTGTGAACCCAGTTAGAAGCCCCTAGAAATAATTATATTCAAAGATATTTTCTTTTACAGTTGAAAAATATATTTTAAATACTTAATAAATGAGCTTACCTCCCAACGGAGTAACGACATCCAGGTTTCCATTATAGATCGCTATCTTCAATTTTGTCTTATCCAACAAGGCTTCTACTGTTGGAAAAGTAAACAAAATTCAAATAAGATATTGAAATATATGAGGATACTATGAATTACAGCATGTATTGTATTTTTTTTTTATTAAAAAAAAAATATTGTATTGTACTATACTTACAGAAAGAAACTGATGGCACAAGAAAGCTTTTCTTCAAACTATCATAAGCCCCCATTGATAAATATTGCCATTTTATTGTTTGGTTCACCATAGATAAACTAGGTTTCACGTATCGGTTCATCTTTTTTTGTAACTCTTCCAATTCAGGATATGGGCTGGGAGCATACACATTGTTAAAGTTAATTTCTCCCTGTTTATTCAAAGTACTAAACAAAACGTCATCCAAAATGTCCGCTTGTGCATAATCCTCTATTTCTAAAGCACGAACCAGCTGCTTGGCTACTTTTGAAGAGGATAAATATAAATTTCTATCTATTCCACCCTGAAAAAAATTTTAGAATATTTACAATTAGTAAATAATTTTGTATTACCTAAGTGTATGGGTTTCTGAGGTTTCTTACCGACATATGCAAAAATTCTGGCTGCACCAATATACTTTCTTTAGGGTCTACCCAACCACCGCCAATACCGATTCCTTTAAAGTTTATTTTCAAACTCTTTTTCTCGATTGCCTGTAAAATTAAATGACTTGTATAAATAAGATACCTAATATTTACTATATTATTTTTCACTGAAAACAGGATACATCCAAATATCACTACAGCTAAGATCCTGCCTTCAAGTAAAAAAAAACAAATTGAATCTTTTTTATGATATAAATACAAACCGTATGTAAGTAATACGCTAGTCTAGGACATATTTTGCCGCCATAACTTTGACTAAACAAATATGTTGGCGTGTGACGGAATTCTTTGTGTCTCCTGAAGAACATTTTTATAGCTTTTGCCAAATCCATAGCTGTAAATAAGAACAAACATTATGGCCGTGAATTATTATCAAATAATTTGATGGGTTTTTATGTTTGAATCATTAACATACCCATATCTCTATCCGTTCTCGCGTACAGCGAACTGTTTGTGACGTAGCTAAATCCAGTACCAACCGGATGATCTATAAACAGCACATTCCTTTCTTTTACCTAAAACATTTAAATAACTTACAATTTAAAACTCGAAGGGTAGTAGTAGTACCTATTAGAACTAAGAATTTCATAAAGCTAATCTTTTCATCATAGATATGTTTACATCAGGTTTTCAGAAACCGTTAACATTTTTGCTTTTTATTAACGCTAGGTACCTACTACAGTATATATTAACACTTTTTTTAAGGGGGGAAATCATCGAATGACTGCTCCCTCCTGGGTGAGGCGGGAGGGGGTGTCAGACTCTTACTGACTAAAAACCACCCCGTTCCTTCTCCTGCACGTAGAGCCGGAGCCCCGGTTACCCGTTAGGTTCTCCGCGACATATTAACACTTTAACAGTTGAATTCTTTTGGTTACTTATACTTATGTATTTAAATTTTAAATTCTGTTTCCTAGTCTATAGATGAAACGCAGTTATGCTATAGGTAGGTATACAAAGTATTTTTCATGGTTATACTTAACAGAAAACAATACCTATAGATATCGGATTATATGCATTTGCATACCTACACATTTGCACATTGAAGGAAGGCCCCTTATCGCTAATAGCACATTTTTTCTAAGTTCTAGGCACATTGCAAACTTCAGTAGGTATACGGTATTTATAAATTTCAATATTTTTAACATCACTTTTACTTGAAGCTCGCGGCTAAACAATAAAGCAAAAAATCGCGTGATTAATTCGAAGTCACCAAATACTCTGAACCATAACGCAGGCTTCGAAAGTTTGTATAAAGTTAATAATTTTATTAATGGGGCGGCAAAATTGAATGCTTTTTTGACAATATAGAGTAGATAATACCTAAACCGAAACTTTTTAAGTTGCATATAATCCAGTCTTTAATCAACATAATCATGATCGCAATTGAGGTCGCCAAACAATTAGCTGAAACTGTATCTTATAAACAAATCTTAATTAATTAGTATCACGCGGCAACTAATTAGGTAGCCCGCGAAACGTCATATCTGTACGACATCGTAAAACCCACGAAAATTGTGAGTTCTTGGTTTGAAGCACTGTTATGTTTTTAAATATAAAAATGAAAATCTATCTAACAATATTTTTGCCAATAGCAAAAAACTAGAATTGATCATTATCCACATACCCAAGTATGGTTACGTGGCTTCAAATCCATGTGGAAAGGACCCATTTCAGCGAAATTTCCTACACCACTCGCAGCAAATCCTGGTCCACCTTGTATCCAAATAATAAGAGGTTTATGATGCGCATTAACCCTCGTGCCGTTTGCAAAGAAGAACCAATAAAACATGTGTGCTCCTGGACGAACTTGCACGTAACCGTGGACATTGTGCCACTGTTTATTGCTTTTTAATGCTTTGGTATAAGGATTTTCTGAAAAAGAAAATGTTTAGTTCTAGAGAATTTGCATATAAGTACCTGATTGTATTGTAGACATTTGGGATGTTTTTAGGTATCACACCCTCAGGGCTCTATACCTGTAAGTTACCAACAAGTATGTACAATTGTACATCTATGTTCAATATACGTAGGTATTTAATTACCTACTTGATTAATAAATGATTAAAGTTGTTGTTTATAAACAACAATATTATTATACAACAGCAACGCTTTTATTTTTCGAACGGTAGAGTTGCAAATATTGTATAATACCCTCCTAACGCGATTCATGAGCTCCAGCTTGCAGTGCCCCTTCCTTTTTAGGTAATAAGGGGCGAGCCTAACTTGCCATAACATTTGATGATGAATCCGATGATATAAAAACAGCGATTACTGAATTTGTTGTTGGTTCCAGGTTGTTTGTTTTTGAGATTTTGCCTACTATTGGAACTTTGCGTGAAAACTGGAGACAGTGAAACACCCCTATGTACTTTTAATAAGTCTTAAAAACATTATTATTTTATGTAACGTAACGTTTATTAGATTCAAATTGCATACCTTCATCCACTGTATCTGCCGTAACACAAATTGCTGTTGCCATCCATATCCATATTAAAAACAATTTCATTTTTATATGATATTTTATAAAACTACACCCACTTTTATCATCCACATGCGCGCTTTAGTGTCACTTGTAAACGATTAACTCGTTTTAAACGCATGCCATGTGGTGATATCATAGTACCTCTGTTCCTCTAATGAATTAATGAGACAAATCAACAAAAAATAGCTAGATATATAATACAGAAGCTGGAGTATATCCGTAGTTTCAGAATTTGTCACGCGCTTCTCATTAGAGAATTAGGGACGTAGGAGAATTATGCTCTACGAAGTATTTTGCACGAAATTTTTATTATAACTGAACCCACAACTTGACTATGAGTAAATATATATAGGTAAAGGTTGTTGCTTGGTATTTTCATTGACTTCTATCTCCCCTCTGAAATTCCACAACATGATATTAACAATGGAAGGTCAGACTAGTAAGCTCTCAACAGTCACCACAAAATAATAGAGCTTGTTAAATTTTTCGCAGACCAAATGCCATTTTTATAGTAGGTACCTAAATGTATTTATTATTGGGATGCATACCTAACTATTAAATAAAAAGAGTATCTTTTATAGAACAACATTGTTCGAAAATAATAGGAGCTGGTTACCTACTTAAATTAGATACTAGCTGCTGAAAGATTGTGTGGATGCGTCTTATCAACACGTTACTTGAGGTTCAAGGATTTTAATAAATACAGACTTTTAATGAAAGATCGTGTTCTGTATAAATTATTTATTTGAATAACAAATCTATAAACGATCCGAAAATACTTGTAGATCTGTTTGGTTGTTGTTGTTGAGATTTCTTTGGATGTCTGTTCGTGTGAGCATAATTTTCGGGAAACCGAAATGCAGAATTGGGTTTCCTTAGCTGTGACGCTTCTGTAGTAGGCCGAACCGGGGGGTATCCTACTACGTGGCCAATAGCTCCACCGATGAGACCAAGGTGATAAGCTGCTTGGGGATGGTCTATTGTATCCTCCTTCACTGGTTTAACATAGCCTGCAATAAAGTAATCTCATCAATTCCATTATTATTGAACCCAATAACTGCAAGACCCGGTAATCGAACGTGTTGCGCAAGAGTCGCAATTGTGACCACTCAACCAACAACTCAGTTAAGAGGATTCAAATAATAGGATACCTGGATCAGACCTCTGTGGACACTGTTAAAGTTTCTTAATTCTTTCTTAATTGGAACGAATGTTGCGTGACTGGACCAGTTAACTGAAACAAATCAACCTTGAACCTTACCTCCTGCATAATAAGGTGGTCTGTACCCATTGGGCCCATAATTGCCCTCAAAGTTATACGGAGGTCGTGTGACGGGCCTTGGAGGTCGATGTGGCCTAGAAGGCGGTCTGTTGGCCCCATGGTGATATGTTTTCACGTAATCGTTATTTATGAAATAACGATCATCCTTTTCTGATTTTCTTCTTTGGCCAGTTGGAGTCACTAAAAGTATCAAAATACACAATATTTTAATGAAATTCTATCAGATACTTTCCTGTTAGGTACGACCTATTAGTCTAAGCAATTTGAAGTTTATAATTGTGTGATTTATTAATTTAATAACTATAATTAAATTTCACCTTAATATAAATAAAATAGAAAGAGGTATGTAAGAATCGTAGTAATTGGCGTTCTTTAGTCTCTGCCTACCCCCATGGGAGACAGGCGTGATGTTATGTATGTATTGTACATAAAATATGATATCGAATTTTATACTTACGAGAACTAAGGTCTGTTTCATCGTAATCTTCTATTTCCCCGCAATCATCTGGATCGTCTTCTTGGGGTTGTTCTTGCAAATCATCGAGAGGGTCCATATGTGGTGGTCTACCAGGCCGAAATAGGTGGTGTATCACCCCAAAGGTTCGAGGTTTCTCATCCCAAGTGACCTGACGTCGGTGAGGAGCAATCTTGTTCGTAGGACACAAAGATGGATTAACTGTTACTGCATCCAACTCAATCATGATCGACAATATCTACAAAAAGCGAGAAAATCTCTTAGATAAATGTTGAATACTGAACACTCAAAAAAGCACTGATTCTAAATTAACAACGTACCGATATAAAAATAAATAAATATTTTCCTGTTGCGTTCATTTTTTAAATTATATTAATTTTAAAACTGATTATAATAATTTAGTCTAAACCAACACTTTTCGCTATAGTGTCCAACTCGTATCTGAACGTAGCACTAGCAGTTCTGTTACTACACCTTTAGTCTCCCACACAAAAGTGAAATGACTCCTTTGTGCTTAGGCAATGACCGATCCATTTATAGAAAATATTGAATGTTTTTTTCACAACGGTGTCCCCAAAATACTAAAATGAATGTTCTGAGTATATTTTAAAACAGTAAAGTAATATTTCTTGTTATTTATTATACACTAGAAGACTTCTAGGACATGTTTACAAATATGAACGAATTGATCGGGGTAAGCTCTAGTCACCTACCTATATAGGCTCCTCCTTGAGATCTAGATCGTATCGTTTCGGAGTTACTGTTAGTTGCAGTTCACCTTGGCTCATTTGTTAAGCATCAATGAATACGTAAGTATATGTAAACATATCAATCTAAATTACAGACAGCCTATTCGTACTTATTTATACATTGCATAGCTAATTACGTACTTAACGTACGTACAACAGAGTTCAACAGACACAGTTTGTAGAGCGTAGCGCCGAACGTTAGCAGACCATGTCATATTTACCTACCCTTAGTAGACCCTAAATAGTATACCTTCCCTAACAATAATAGGGCTTCACTGAAAATAAAATTGCATCATTTTTACCATCATTACCTGCGTACCTAAGTACCTTCTTATAAGTACCTACATATCTAAAGTTTATCCCCATTTTCTATAATAAGGTGAAAGATTGGTGGAGGTAAACTGCGTATTTTCGTATTCTATTATATTAATGATATTTCGAAATAGAAAAACCTAAAATGTTTAATTTAATTTAACTTCCAGATACATTAATCCTAAGCTGAAACGAGTCGCGGAGAACCTAACGGGTTACCGGTGCTCCGGCTCGAAGCGCAGGAGAAGGAACGGGGTGGTTTTTAGTCAGTAAGAGTCTGACACTCCCTCCCGCCTAACCCAGGCGGGAGAAATCATTCGATGGTTTTGCCCTTAAAAAAACTGAAACGAGCTTAGAATTTTGCAGTTATATCTAAGTATAACTATATTTAATATAAACCTAGTGCTTACCTTCATTAGGAATAAATTTTCCTTGGTGAAAATCCGTTGCAAGAAAAAACAATTTTCATCATCAAGTACAAGTACATACCTAACGATACGCGTCGTTAAACTTAACATATACGTATGTAATCATGCCTTTTTCATAATAACAAGTCCTTACTGGTGCAACAGTCATCAATTAGGCAAGACGTGATTCCCAAGACGTGTTTGCTAAGTTCGGGTCCTCATTTCGTAAATATGTGGGTTGATAATGTTTTGGTGAATTTCTTCATATCATTCAAGGTCGTAATGCCCATTTTATCCTTTATGGCATCTGTTATTTACTTATATGGATTCGGTTTAATAGGACAGTTATACCATAATTAATCAACGATAAATTTAAATAAATAAATCAATAATTGACCATGGCATTTTCAGTATTTTAACAAAATAGACCTCTTAAGACATTAACGCCACCTGATGGCCAAAAAATTGATCCCTCTTTCAGGCGGCGCACATGCTGGGCGCGTTCTATTACAAGATAACTTGAAAAACGACAGTATGGTTTAAAAAAAATTAAACGTTTTCGGAAAAAAATATATTTTTAGTTAAATGACTACGGTGGTCCCATCATTAGTAACGAGGAAAACGGTTGTTAAGTCTTGAATCTCTCTTTATAGATTTTCCACCTTTCAACTTTTTCATAAAGTTGAAATTATATTGTAGAAATTAACAACTTAGGGACTGATATTTATCGAGTCGAGTCGAGTCGTTATCAATGTCGAGTCTTTCTACCACAATATCATAGTAGGCTGTATGAGATATTATCTATGCCTGTCATAAGAATTCAATAAAAAAAATCAGTTTTGACATTTCGCTCAAATCAATGCATTCATTGATCTGAAACTCGGTTTTTTATATAAATAATGGCAAAACAACTAGGAAAAATATATTTGGGTTATGAAGATGAGACGATTGGTGACCGAAATCAAACCCTATTGAACTATACAGTGAATAAAATCGGAGGTCTACCCGTAAGTTTATTCAATACTTCCTTCGCACAACAAATTTTTATCGACCACATGCTAATATACTTACTTTTATTAATTTTATTTCAGGACTGGCCACCTCTTGAAAATCTACAAATTTCCACGAAATGCCCTCTTTGTGGTCTACACAGACTTCTTGTTATACAATGTTATGCACCACTTGAGAATTCTATTTATCATCGCACTTTATATGTTTTCGCGTGTATAAATCCTAATTGTTGGATTCAGTCTGAAAGGTAAATGCACTATCAACCATATATTAAAATAAAGCATCTCACTACCAAACTTTTGTTCTCATATTATATTTTTATTTTTAGTTGGTTATGTGTAAGAAGCCAGTGCCAAGATAATTCCTCCAAAGAGTCGAGAGCTATTGTAACCCTCCCTAATCCAGATACTACACTGTCATGGTGTCAGGGCGCTGATGAATGGGATGAGAATGACAATGATACAGCAAATGGCAATTTTATGAATGTTGACAATGCTCCTAGCCCCAACAATGCTGTGCAACGGTGGGTTATGTTGGTGAACTATTAAAAATTATGTTAACTTTACTTCTTGCTATTATCCTCTTGTCTACTGGTACCTAGACAAATACATTGTGTTTCGCTTAGATCTGTGCTTCAGCTTACTATAAATTAAAAATGTTCTTTCTACATAATATTACTCTGCTTTTTCAATAGACCTTTTTGCTCAGTGTAAATTATTCACAATGTGGATAATGTAATAAGTTATTATATTTGATAATGCTTTAAATAGGAATTCCGATGAAGATGAAGAAAGCAATTCTTATGAATTGGAAAATGTGGAACAAGCTTTTGGAAATCTACAAGTATTTGATGCTCACAATGCGAACATGTCACCTATACAAGGTAAATACAAAATTATTTATTTCATTCTTACATACATATACATTATATTTCGTTGTATTCGAGAAATAAAACTCTTTGTATCATGTTTTATTATTTATTTATTTGTAGCAATTACACCTTGTAGTAGTACAATACAGCATTATGCAAACATTATAAATAACCAAGAAATTAAACTTTGATAGTGGCAAAGAAATATTGGGATTGAAGAATAAAAAAATCAATGTTTATATAGAACAATAGGTGAAAGAAAATGAATTGTAATTTACATACATGTTACAGGAGCTATGGGTGCAATTGGAGCTCCAGCAGCTGCAGCAGAGTTAGAGGGAGGTGATGAACCAGGGTTGGTCACTGTTGACACACCAACAGCTCCCACCAATGATATTGAGGCCTTACTGCAACAAGTTAGTATATTTTGAAGAAACCTATTATGATTCACCCATAAACTAATTATTTTAAAGTTAATTACTTACTCCAGTTGTAATAATTTCAGACTGCAGAACTGCCTCCAGACTTGAGAAGTCGTCTGATGTGTGGACCATTACAATTTGTGCCGAAATATATTTTTGTTGAAGAAGAGTGGAAGAAGTCAATGGGCAATGATGATAGAGCTAATGAATTGCTAAATAAGTATAAAATTGAAAATGGTGAGTACATTTATAATACAATAAGTTTTGTTTTTAGTTGATTAATAATATTATAGAACAACAATATTACATAACAATTATTTTTTTCAGAAATTGAAGTATGTGCTGGGGACCGAGTTGTAGGTGGTGGTGGATCCGATGAAGAACCTTACGAGGAAGCGGCACCGTTACATGGTGATAGACTGTTCCATGCATTCATAACACGATTGCGCAATCATCCAGGCCAAATACTCAGGTAAAACTATAAACCGTGTATGACACAGTAATTAAACCTTAAACTGTCAAACACCGTGAGGACACCGGTGATCGCAACCTATTGTTCTTTAGTTGTGTCTATAATGACGGTTATCAAAGGGTTAAGTATAGATTTCAAGACTAATTTCAATTATTTTTACAGGTATTCGAGGGAAGAACCCCCTGTCCTGGGTGCGCCTTTGCCAAGTACTGCAACTACCCCAGACACTCCGAATATGCCAACTATTTGCTCACGCTGTGGTGCGAGACTCACCTGTGAGCTACAACTAGTGCCTGAGTTTGCTGAAACTCTCCGATTGCTACCTACCAACCAGTCTTTAGCACACTTACATTTTCTCTCTGTACTGATATTCACTTGCTCACAAAGTTGCTGGCAATCATCCGATACATTGGTAAAGGAATTTGTTGTCTTTCAACCTGAGGTTGTGTAAATTATGCATTATTTAGACTGTTTTGTTGTTTTTGGCCTTCTAAAGTTGTTAAAATTGCAATACATATTTACGTTTATGAAAGGTGAGGTGTGATTATGACAGAAATTATATGACATGGTAGACACAAGGCTGGAATAAAGAAGACAATGAAAGGTTTTAGCAATTACATAAATGTTTGCAATAAATAATCACAATTTTACCCGTGACTTAAACTTATATTTATTACTGTACTGTGATCGTATTTTCCACTAGGATATAATGATTTCAATATATAAAGATGTTTATGAACATCAATAATTGTTATTTAAAATATATAGTGGACTATGTCTAGTCTAAAGTAAGCTTAATATATTTTTTGCTTTATGATATTCTCACAAGTTTACTCAATCAATTTGATAGTATGCTAGAGAATCGTTGTAATTAATTTTGTAACATTGCAATATTTGCTATACATTGAATTTTCTATGACTATTTACGACACTTCAGAAATTTGCAATAATTTTTATTATCATGTATTTCAGTTGGCTTCTTGAAAGCGTCGCATTTAGAGCTTTCTTACAATTTATAGATAATCAGGTAATCTCTAGTATGGCATTTTATAATTATAATATGTATATTAAAATATCCTTAAATGTCCATGAATAACTGCCAAGTAGAAGTAAGAGTATTAAAGGAGAGTAAAAGTTAAGAAAGTATGTGCTTTCACTATGGTAGGTATTTATTTTTATCAGAATACAACTGTTTGTCTGTAGCATATCCTTAAGCCACATCGTATTGCCGCTTTAAAATTTAAATTATTTGGTAATCTAATTGATTATGGTTTTGAAAAAGAAGAAACATCAATTGTTTAAAAAATCATAAATTATATTAAAGAAAGAATTTTATAAGTTATGTATATGTTTGTTTTATAATACTGACAGTACTCTAAAAGAGTGTTGAGTATCTCTATACTTAATAAAATATAATTTACAAAATCTAAACGACAAATATGTCACATAAACATAATAATGTGTTTGCTAGTTTAGAGAAAAAAGCCTTGTTATTCAAGAATGCTCAATGGGTACATAATATATGTATTGCATTGTTTGATGTTATCCTAAATAATTGGTAATAATAAAATTACTCTAAGTATTTACTAATTAAATATGTAGCATTAAAAATTAATCTGTTTTCCGATCCATTAAACCAAATTGCCTATAAAAATGTCAATCACTGTAGTTTGTGGAAAATAAAATGTGTAAGTTATATGTATCGGTTTTTATTTTTAATATTCTGCCCCTTGTCCATTCCACCCCAGCAATAAGCTTGGATATAATTTAGATTGTCTCCTTTCTCAAGTGTTCTTAAGTACGACTGCCGAGTAAGGAATCAGGGTTCGACTCCCGGATCAGGAAAATATTAAGTTTTTCGATTATAGAAAAAAAATTGTAGTAATAGCACGGTGTCTGGAATTGCGTCCGTTATACGGCACCCTGCTCCTCAGAGATAAAAGCCGTTTGTCAAATATCTCTTCAAAAAAATAAATCCATTACTTGCACATCAAGGTGCCGCTGTCGAATGGTTAGTTATGACCAACGACCAAGATCAATATATAAAAAAAAAGAACAAAGGACTTATCAGCAAGATTCGATATATAATTATATCGATACCAAAATGATACATTCATCGGAAAATTTTACATTTATTTATTTATCATTTTATGTACCTACACCACACAGACAATATTACAAAGGACAACACATTACAAACATGAGGTACATAGGTAGGTTTATTTTGTTTTTCTCTAATTAATATTGCATAAATAATGATAAAAAAAATAAACAAAAATCAATGATATTTTTTCACTTAGTCGATTATAAAAACATAGATAACAAATGGAAGTGGTAACGGAAGCCACATTTTCTACAATATTTTATCTGTGCATCCGTCTTCCATAAATGAATCGGTGCGGCGAGGCGGCGGCATAGAAAGACTATCAATTTTCGTGAGTCGAACAGTGAATCTAGTCTAAAAGTTAAGGTTTGTTGCATTTCTTCGTGTGACATTTTTAGGACCCCGTGCAAATATACACTTTTAAACATGTCTGGCGAAGCACCTGTACCTCCTCCCGTTTTATGGGCCCAGCGCAAAGAAGACGTTTTTCTCACGTTTAGCATCGAATCTAAAAACCCTACGATTAAAATAGAAAAGGATTCAGTTTACTTCAAAGGTGTGAATGCTTCAGACAATAAAGTACACGAGGTTACGATATCGTTATATGATGCTGTTATTCCTGAAACAAGCGCTTTCGTAAATAAAGGAAGATGCATAGAAATGATTCTTCGCAAAGAAAAGAAAGACGCTTCCTACTGGCCTTCATTAACAAAGGATAAGAAAAAACCTCATTACCTCAAGGTAGACTTCAATAAGTGGAAAGACGAAGATGATGAAGATGACAATGAGAATGGTGGAGGCAACTCATATGATATAGAAGAAATGCTCCGCTCAATGGGCGGCGGTGGAGGTGACAAGGCTGACAAACCCTCATTTGATGACTTAGAAACAGATTCCGATGATGAAAATCTACCAGATCTTGAATAACATCCCCGGAGTGATAAAACTTATATTTAACACATGAAAAGTACATTATGTATAAGGTTTTTACAGTTATAATAAAATCATTGATAAAATGAACAGGTTACATTCATTTTAGTTACTGACCTGTGCCTCTGTAACACCCTACTTTAAATCGAATAAGCGAGTTCCAAAACTGTAGTTAGAAAATATTTAATTTAAATATATTCAAGAGGAGTGAAGTACTAAATTGTTTTTCAATAAGCCCTTCAAACACTAATGCACCTCCATAGAGTTGTAAGGTCTTAAAATAGACAACCTCTAGTTTCCACCGAGTATCTGTGACTAGCTGCAAATAACACTTCTACACTTTTCTTATCCAAATACTGGTCTCCTGTAGATTACAAAAAAACTAGACAAATAATCAATGGACAAATGGAGAAAGATTGAGTAGGTACACATACACCAGTATTCTTTACTATATTCTAGTATTTTTATGGCCTCAATAAAAGGAAAATAGTAAGGATTTTATGTTCTTACCTAAGTAATATAAAAAAAATTGTAAAAACAATTCCCTAAATATTATCCTCAAAGTAATGAATAATAAAAAACAAATAGCAAGCCTTAGTTACAACAACTTGGTCTATTTAGTATGACCTCCCATGACCCATATCCAACACCCCCTGTAAAAAGCATGATAGGATGAAGTTAACCCAAGTCGGTACAATGGCATATTTGTAGGCTCTAGAATATTCTATTGGTACTGTGGTTTGGTCGATAATATTGTGGTTAGATAATAAATGACGCTTAGCAATGCTTTGTCGGTGAATGAACATGCACCAACAGTTGCTATGTAGACTACATAGCAACTACATAATGTAGTTGCAAAGCACTTTATTCCTAATTAGTAGGTAAGTACAACCTACATTAACTTGGGAACTTTGGCCACTGTACCGACTGGTACTGACCCTATAAATTAACCAACTAAAAATTAATAGATATGGTCACTTGTACCTAATTAAGATAAAACTATCTACAAGTTTTTTTCTCATAAAAAATATTTCCCGTTAATTAGATTCTTATTTTCAGTAAAGTACCATCTAATGTTGCTTATATTCTTCGTATTAATTTATTTTGCCACATGTCCAACATGGTGACTTAGATGAGAATAAAATACTCGTCAGTTGTTACCGAAAATACAATTGAATGCTGATTCAAATATTTAAGATAGGTACTTTTCCCAAACTAATTCAAAATACATAACGTCCAACAATACCTACGCACTTAACTGCCGTGTATTAAACAGTTAAAGGACATACACTAAATTGAACTCTAGTCATTAGCGTTTAGATACGTAGGAGTGTCCATTCAGTGCCTTTAGCGGCTTCAGTGTGAAATAACAATGGGGTTGTTGAGTACACTAGCAACAGAACGGAAGCCATATTAGGAACTTTTACCTACCTACCCATTAATTTATAAGGTCCGGGAATATCTTGGTAAACTATAATTAAGTTCGTTTGAAAGTTATATTTACCACAATTTACAAAACATCACCACAAATTGTTGTTCCGGATTAAAATCCGGACCACAGATTTTGATCCGGAACAATAATTTGTGGATTCAGGATCACACGAATCGTTTTACGTGGTAAACGAACCTTCGATTCAATATTTTATCATTATGATCCGCTCCTTTAGAAAAAATAGATAGCAATCACCGACAATGTACCTAATTGGGTAATTACCTAATTGGCTAATGTATTAAAATATTTTAATTATTTTCGGGTTAATGTTAAGGTACCTAATGCCTACAATTAAGTACGTAATGTGTATAAAATAATGAAAATAAAGAAATATATCTAATAGCTTATGTATGTTAAGCTGTGCTTTCATTATTTGCAGCCTATTTATTAAACTGCGAGGCAGTAACGGTGGCGGAGTGCCCTGCATGGGCTGAGCACCACCATGTCCTCAGGAATGTGATCGGCGACGGTGACCTCTTACGTCCGGCCCTGGTTCAGGCCATGGTACGGAGCGAGGAGGACTAGGATGCCGTCCCTTTTTTCTGCGAAGCAATCATGCTAGCTAAGGAGGAGATGGGGAACTAACCTGCTCACGCCCCAGCCGTCGCTTGAGACAATCTGGGCGTCAGGGGTCGCGAGACGATCTCCGGCCACCGTAAGCACGGGCCTGCGGATAGTGAGCAATGGTAGCTCGTTGCCCCATCCAGCCATCAGACCACCACAGATGGGGCCCAATAGGGTACGGCTGAACGGTACTGAGCCGCGGAGAATCCTCCGAGCCCCGGTAACCCGTTAACTCTAACGGGTTACCGGGGCTCAAAGTGCAGGAGTGGGAACGGGGTGGTTTTTAGTCAATAAGAGTCTGACACTCCCTTTCGCCTCACCCGTGCGCAAGAAGTTATTAGAGGGGACACCCTCACACCCCTCAAAAAAGCCTATTTATTAAAATTAAATAAATCTTAAGAAATTGATGATATAACTTTATTTAGTTTTTTCAGAAACTGTTACAGTAACACTGTATAAATGAAATTGTTGTCCATGTCTTCGAATATTCAATGTTATAGTCATGCAGTAAATAAGTCTATTGAGGCTCTCACATTTCAATATGTAAGCTGACCCTTGACCAGGACTGAAAATCGGCGCGCCATAACTTTGACAATCAAACATAAAATACGACGATTTAATCCTTCCAAATGCCAAATTTTTAGTTGGACTAGTAAGTATCCCAAGGTTATTCTTCTCAAAGAAATATGACAACGCCTTACTCAAATTAAAACGATCAGGATATATGTTGTAAACAAAGCCAAAAATAGTTTTCTCAAACTTAAGTGCAAATTGAAACGGATACATTTCTTCTAATTTAGTATCTAAATCCTCAAAAGTAACTTCGTGGTTAGGAGCCGAGCCAACCTTAGTAGCACACTTTTTATGGTAAGCGTGTCCGCCATAAACAATTCCGTCGAGGAATCCACTCGTCCAAGCGCTAATGTCACAGGCCTGGGTCATGCCAATAGCCACGACACTGGTTGCCAGATACTGTTTACCGCGATGTTCTTCCTCAAACCGTTTATCCAGTGGATGTATTGTCCCCCACAATGAATACAGATCGCCCGGAAATTCGATATCCCAATCTTTCCACATTGTTTTTGGTGTTTTTCTGTCAAAGCCCAAGTCATTTACAGCAAGCATTCGAGACCATGGTACCTCTGGGATATTTAGCCAATACATTTTCTCGTCCACCAAGGGGCGCACTTTTCTTCGTTTCATATACGGTAAGTTAGGATTTTCGTCGGGCCTGAAGAGAGGACTTAGTCTATAATTCAAAGCTGAATGACGTGGAGCAGTTTTTACTGAAGTCAATTCGAATGTATAAAATTCAGGATCATCAGCTTGCTTTCCTGGTAACACTTTCCTTATTCGCCTAATAAGTGCTTCCATAGAGCGATATAACGTCCAAGACGCTACTTCATTTCCTTTTCTAGAAGGTTTCTCTTCTCCTTGCGTATCCTTTTCTCTGAATTCTTCACCAGGCGGCGGGTAGGGGTCAAAGAGATGATAAAATCCTTCTGTTTGGCATATGACTAAACTAAATTGAGGAAATCTTATAATAACATAACGTAATCTTTTCAATACGGCTTTTAAATATTGCTCAAGTCTTTTCTCTGGATTCTCGTTGACAACTATAATTTTCTTGATGTTGATATTTATGAATTTTCCATCTAATATTACGTTTTTAATTACCCTCTTTTCGCAAACACTCAGATTTGTAGCTTTATCGTATATTTCTAAACCTTTTTCTATACAAACGTCAACCATGACATGGTCCCAGGTTCTGATCGGATGCATAGCGGCCATTAGCATTGCGATGAGGCTAACGAAATGACAAGACTTCACATCTGTACTTGGTTTTCTTTGATTCAGTGACGTAGTTCCTTCTATTCGGTACACGCCGTCTACCAATTGATACCCAACCGCTGTTTGGCTTTTCATTTCTTTTACGTCCAATCGTCGGCTTTCGGTATCCATCTCAGAAGCTAAAACTGTTTGTTTAGATTTCTTGGACTTAGGTCTACCAGTAGAAAAGTCATGATCTTCAGGTAATGTAGTGCGAGCCTCTTTTAGGAGTCTTCTAACTAGTATTCTACTGAGGATAAATTGTTGGTCATCTGATCCTCCATCCTTGTTGTAATTTATTCTGTAAATAGAATAAGGTAGGTAAATATCGGATCCGGGTATGTTTTTAATGTGTGATCAGCCGCCGAAAGACTGCCAACAACATCTAAACTCCTAAATGTCTTATAGACTACTGACTTTTGGTCACTACGGTTGTCAAGTCACCCAATTTAAATGATAAAAAAATAACACAATAACATCTACCTGCTCACGAGGTCATGTAGCGTGCGGAATCGCAAAAAGCATGCTTTTCCGTTACTGCCGGCTTCGTCTCTGAGACCCATTGCGTTACAAGGACTGCCATCGAAAAGATAATACAAGCCATTTCTTTTGAAAAATGCACAACTGTAAGATGCCGTAGTAACCATGCCCCTGTCAAATTTTGGGAAGAATTTCCGAGCCAACACATCTTCCATCTGCCAGCTAGCACCTTCTCCAACAACATCCACATTGGCATGATACGCCTGAAAAAAGAATCTGTCATTACCTAATCATACATCACATCACATCACAATATCAACTTTTGTTGTGAAGAAATAAACAAAGACCTGATGTCCAAGTGCAATTTTCGGTATAATATGAACAGGTGCTAGTTGAAACTTCTGCTGTTTATTTTCATAAAGCCTCAAAGCTGTTTCTACCACAAAATTCACAATACCGGGCGTCCATGTATTGATAGAGTACTTGTAAGATGTTACTATTGCCATGATTGCTCCAAACGGTAACCTATCAATAGATTCGATGTCACCCGCATCCGAGACGGTGTTAGTTCCTCTAATGATTTGTGAAGTGTCGGGTAAGTCTTTGAAGTTGCTCGGTTTTTTTATTTCTTCTTCGAGAGTGGCCTCAAATTGATCCTCTATGAGCGGAGGTGTCATTTTCTTGCGAATTTTTCGTAGTTTAAAGCGATATTGAGCGTCTTCCGTGAGAAGGACCCGACGGTCGACATTGACTGCGGGCAGAGTTTGAACTTCATCTTCTGCCAACTGCATTGGCGCCAGCTAGAAAGTAGACAGGCAGATTTAAAAGAATCATAAACTTAGATAAGTGACAAGAGAAGAGAAGAGTGTGAATAGAGACTTTGCTCAGCAGTGGGCATTATAGGCTGTTGAAGTACTATATACAAATACAAAATATCCTGAATATTAATTACATTTGGGAGCGAGAACTCTCAGGACAATCTTCAAAGTTTCTAATAACGTCATTATCAAGAAAACGTTTGCAACAGGTAGAAAAAGAGGGCTTAAAATATGGAACAATTTTTGCAAAATGTTTTGTGAAGCCAATAATTGATAGAGATAGTTAAGATTTGCTCAATGGCTCTTGTGCCCCTAGGCGAAGGCAGTGTTTTGTAAAGTAAGATTGTAGAATTGGTTACATTTTAAGCACTCTTTCACATTAGTTACAAAATTAACAAATACAATGACAAGAAAGCATATGACAGTCGATTTTAGACACCCAGACCCGAACAACAATTTGTAGATCACACAAGGTGTTGTTCCGTTCGGGAATCACCGTGCCACGGCCACCGCACCAACCGTGTAATAAGAATAAGAAATTTTATTTGCTCAAACAGATTTAAATTAAATTGCTCAAAATTTTATTTAATTCTGTCACTACAAACTCTTTGTAAAATTACATAGATGGCACGATATTTGAGAACCTACAAACAACTTAAAATTGAGTATCTTCAGTATTTGAGCATTAGCTATGTTTTTTATAAGGAGGGAAAATCATCGAATGACTGCTCCCGCCTGGGTGAGGCGGGATGGAGTGTCAGATTCTTACTGACTATAAACCACCCCGTTCCTTCTCCTGCACGTAGTCCCGGTAACCCGTTAGGTTCTCCGCGACTTCGAATCGGCATCGGCCCTGTTGGGCCCCATCCGTGGTGGCTGATGGCCCTTTGAGGCGCGCATGGTACGCGACCCATGCTCGCCGTCCGCAGGCCCGTGATTAGCTATGTTTAAGGGTAGTATCGTGCTATTGAAGAAGCCTGTGACCCATTGTTACAGACAGGATGCTAATGATCACAATAATGATGACGGTGATGAATGTGCAGTAACGTACCGGTACTTCAGGCTCTGGTTGTGGCGAGGGTGGTGGCGGTGGCAGTGGCGGTGGGATCTCCGCGGCCTTCCGCCGCGCCTCCTCTTCCTCAGCCTTCCTCTTTGCTTCTTCTTCTTTCAGCTTCCGCGTCTCTTCGTCTTCTTCTTCTTCTGCTGCTTCTTCCTCCTAAAAGTACAGAAATATTTCATGAGTGTAAGATATCTTCCTTGAGGATATATTTCTATGTCTAGTTAAGAGCATAAACTTTTAAAATCATCTAAAATAACTTTAATTATAAAATTATCCTTACCGCTTCTTCTCCACCTTCCGGCGGCTGAAAATGAAATCATATTTTAAAATGACATAAATCTGCTATAAAAACATAATAATAACTAGTAAAACCGAGGTAAGTATTCTACTAACATAAACAAAATTGTCTAAATTAAAAAGTACCTAATATAATGAAGTAAAGTAAGAATTACTACATAGTATAAAACAAATTAACTTTTTAACTCCGGCGTGTCTATACGCTTAGATCTTTAAAATTACGCGCAAGACTTTGATGGGACGTTTAGTGATTCAAGAGAAAGCTTTACATAACATAATGTCTCCGAAATTAATGTGCGCGAAGCCGCGAGCAAAAGCTAGTAAGATAAAGAATTGTCACCGGCATCGGCGGCGGCGTGGGTGGAGGAGTAGGTATTGGACTTGGGTCGGGTTCAATGGGTTCGTTAGTCTTGTCGCGAGGCTTCGGCCACGGCGGCACCACCTGCGTCACCGACACCGTCGGCGAGTCCAAGTTTACTGTAAAGATTTTTTTTTTGATACATGCCTCATGTCTACGTGTGGGACTCATTTCATCTAAGTTTTATTCCTGTTTAATTTCTATCCAACCTCTTGTAGACTAGGTACACTAAAAAGTTTTTATACAAATCATTATTCGCCAAGAAAAACTCACCGACTTTTGGTTCGATTGGATCGTCTATATGGGTTTTGTATCTCATTGGTATCGGCGGAATATAATCCTCTTGCACACTGTCCACTAAAGATATAATGTCGCCCATTTGTTCTTCGTCCACTGCATTCGCCTATAAATTCATAAAAAACTTCATAAATATCCCTGATAGTCTTATTATTTTAATATTTGAGAGGAATATGCGTGTAATAGAATATTCCAATAATATAGTTATTACAAACGAATATTCAACTTACTCCAGGAGTTTTATTGTCCAGAACAACCTCAACAGGCATGACGTCATGATAGATCTCCCTGCCGTCACCGTGTTCTCTGCTTCCCATACAAGGTACACTTTTCCCTTTTTTCTTCGCTCCAGGCAGCTCCTCGTCGCTTAGGGTACAAACTATTTGCATCTGAAAACACACTTTCTTATCATCAACACTTATTAATGTATGTATGTACTTACATACATGTAAATCATAATTGACGAAGTTAAAGAGTAGGCTGCGCGACACCGCCCCGACCGCGCATGCTGCTCATGAGGAAGAACCTCTCTATAGTTCAAAACTAGTAGAGCTTTTCTCAGTATGTTCACGAGAGTAAACCTCGATTTGTAGTTAATTTAGTATGTGTTACGATAGTTATTATAAAAACATTGATGACGTTGATATGAAATCATACATTTGTTCAACAATAAAAAGGCTACGGTATCAATATCTTAAAAAATACCTTTGGCTCTTTCTTCTTTAACTTTAGAACTTTGAAAGCGTGGATATAAAACTGCGTCGTAGCTGGTAGAGAATCCCAGTTTTTGATAAATGCGTCCGCCATCGTTCCGGGATTCAAAAGCATTAGACAACACGCCTTTCCACCCTTCATGACTCTAAGTCCGTCATTGGTTCGCGGATAAGGATCAAATAAATAGAACATATCCTTTTGTCTCCAAACCGCCAATGTATAATTATTAAACTCCAATATGCCGCAGTTGTACTCGTGGTTAAAGAATTCTTCAAGGCCGGTTTTAATATTAAGCAAGCATTCCTTCGTTGTATATAGCTGTCCTTTCACCCTTTCTCTGTATATTATAATCTCACATGCATATGGACCAATCATAATCTCGTTTGGTATATTGTCAATGGTTATATCGATCATTACTTTTGGATGCGTACAATCAATGTAGAGCTTGTTGCCCAGCCGTAATATTTTATCCAATGTCTTTGAAAACCATGTGTTGGGTGGTGATATTTTTGCGTAGCTCATCGCGACGATGGCGATGGGTAAAGCTTGTCTGAATTTAGCATCCTCGAAGCATCGATCTCCCAAGTGCATATTAGCATTGACTATGGCACAGTTTTCGTTTAAAATTCTGTATCCCATCATAGCTTTCTCAGCTTGGGTGAGTTCTTTATCAGATTCAAAATCTTCGTCACATTTTTCGTCTGCCATCTTTAGTACTTTCACGGGAGCGAGGACGAATTTTTGATCTTCAAGTATACTGCGTGCTAGGAGAACTTCAGCGACTGAATCGACGTCTTTGACGTTCATGAGAGCAGCTTGGCCGTGTGCGAAGTTGGAATAAGCTCTGGAATCTCTACCGGCTGGGTCGAAAATGTAATAGCACACTCTGTCTTTCCATATCACTAGTTTTAAGACCCTGATTGAAATAAAGAAATAATTTATTAAGTTTTAACTTTAGCCAAGTAGATAGTCAAGGTTTGGAATCTAAGAAAATATTATTAATGTTGTTGAGCACGAAATGTGACGCTGAAATTTTAGATCTAAAGTAAATCTCCGACTAGCAGCGTAGGAGTATAGAATTAAAGAATAGTGCGAATGAGCTAGTTCTACGACTCTACTATATGAGATGCTTAAATAATATTGGGTGTTGCAAAAGTTTTAATTCAAAAACAGTAATCGCTCTCTCTAACCTGGTTAACAAAACGCCTGCTCTGTTCTCTTTGAAGAAAGCTTTAAGTCCCCTGCACAGGTTATATACAGTGGGATCCAAAGACATAGTGTACCCAACGATGTCTGGTTCACAGAGTAGAACTTGCATCCTTTTACCATTCAGTACCAATATTTGTTTCTTGCCAAACTGCAATACTTCGCAGATACCTTGCACTTGAGAATGATCATGGACTTTATCCAGGCATTGGATGTACCTGAAAAGTGAAAATGAACCTTATTTTACAGTGAGTTATGGTTAAATTTGCAACAGCAGTCATTTTTTGCAATCATGTAGAGTTCACATTTTCGGTGGAACTAGAAATTGGTGCAAGGTTATCTTCTAACTTTGCAGTAAATGAAACACAAAGAAAAAGAATAATAATAATTTTAGGAATAATTTTGAGCATTACATACCACACATCACCAGCGTCCACCAAGTTGTCGATCAGCTTCATCGTCCACTGCTTCGGGTGGTAATGGAATGCTAAACAATAAGCCATTACACTCATCGTCAAAGCTTGTCTACCTCTTGATCTCTGACCTGTATATAACACATAATACCTATATGAGGTACTTTGAAAAATTAACATTATTAATAGTCCCCAAGGTTTACTTTTGAATATCCTTTTTGATCTCTCTAGTTATGAACTTACGTGGCAAAAGATTCAATTTCTTGTAATGCGACAATATAGTAAATGATAACCTCACCACCACCTTAAATGGACCTCCCCCCCCATTTCAATAAAATGGGAGGTGGATGATTGTATGGACCATTTCACAATTTTCAAGGTAGAAAGCTAAAAAATAGTATTTGTGACTAACAAAAAAATCGTAGGTACATCAGTTTTTTTGGAAGTCTGCCCCCAACCTCTTAAAAAAGCGCGTATGAAGCCGCGGGCGGGAAGCTAGTCTAGTTCTGTAAAATGTATATAAAAGAAGAACATTTTCAAGTTAACCTTACCATACTTATTATCGTACATATTGAAGGAGCCCGTCAGTATACCGTAATGTATGTCAGGCCTTCTGTCCTTTGTACACGGGATTACAGTAAGAGAGTGAGTTTGTAGCGTTCCTCTTTTTAAATTCATTGGTATGTGTACCTGGACAATAATAATATGTGGACATCAGACATCAGGATTTCAGAATGACAGTAACAAATGAAAATATTTCATTTTGTGTTGACTAGATGGCGTTTCTAATTAATAAGATCCTCTTGACAAGAGAAAAGACGTCTAAGTTTTTTTCGTGTTTCTTTTCAGAGAAGTCAAATAGAAAATCGAACTTAGGGTTCATACGCACTATGCGGGTAGGAGCATTACAGCTAGCCGCGCGGCTGACCGCAGAATGCGGTTGCGAATGCGGCCAGCCGGATCGCGAGAAGCACTATTCTTGACTTCTATATTACTACGCTGCTAGTCGGAGATTTACTTTAGATCTAAAATCTCAGCGTCACATTTCGTGCTCAACAACATCAATCATATTTTCTTAGATTCCAATCGGACAGCCGGATCGCGGGCAGCCGCATTCGCAACCGCAACGTGCGGTTAAAGAACCGTTGCGATTTGCGGTCATGTCGATCCATTTCAAAGATGGACGTGGAAGAAGAAGAAGTTTCAGTTATTTACTACATTTACACACGTTACATAAAGAAGAAAACCAAATAAAGATGTACTGGGTGCATCCTTATTTGCAAACACGAGATGAGAACAAGCATCGAATTCAATGGCAGGCAACCGGAGACTGAACCGCACAGTGCGTGTAGCAACCGTGCATGTAGCGGCCGTCACTCGGGCCGCAGCCCTACGAGCGACTGGAGCGGTCTGCGGGTAGCCGCATCGCAGTGCGCATAGAAATGAATATTACGTACATAATTGTGCTTGCGGTCAGCCGGACGGCTAGTCGCTATGTGGCTACCCGCATAGTGCGTATGAACCCTTAATTCTAAAATGTTAAGGTTACACTTTTACACGTGCTATTTTGTAGCATATTTATTTATTTTTATAACATAACATAACATCACGCCTTTTTATCCCCGAAGGGATAGGCAGAGGTGCACATTAGGGCACTTAATGCCCCTGTACAATGTAACACCCACTTTTTACTATTTATGTTATGAGTCCCATGTAATAGGGGGTGAGCAATTGAGCAAATATATACCTACCGGGCACAATTCCATTTATTTTTATTGATTTCTTTTAACCAATTATTTGTGTTTGTGTTACTGTTAACTTACATGTTCCGGTCTAGGTATTTCATCTAAGCCACAACCTTCATCTTCATCATCTCTTGAGATAAATTTCTGTGTGCCCCTTGCTCTTGGTTTACCGTCGGTAACGCCAAGATTGATGTAGCCTGTATCTGGGTAGCTGAAACATCATAAATGGTAAAATAAATATGTTTCTTGTATTGTTAATTTATAATTAAAATTATTTTGTCACATTTTAATAAAAATGTTATAAAAGACGTGATATTATGTTACGTTAATATATTACCATTATTTAATTAGAATATAGCCTTAATTATATTTAACTATAATATAAATATATTATATCTTAATATATATAATTCTGCTGCACGTGTGTTTACCATTGAACTCCTCCTAAACGGCTTGACCGATTTAAATGATTTTTTTTACGTTTGGGTGACGCTCTAGATGGTTTAGATTCACAAATCAGCCCGGCAGATGGCGCTGCAGTCAGTGTCTAGGATATTTATCCTAAACTAATAATAATTATTATTATTTCATTGGTCTTTCCTTTCATACATATGCAGGACAACGTCTGTCGGGTCCGCTAGTATATATATTTATTTATATTATATTACCAACATTAAAGCTCTTACTTACCCTCTCTTACTCATAGCCAGTCGTCTCTTTTTCTTTAAAGCGTTAATATATTTTCTATAAAAAAAGCATGGTTTTATTAATACTTATAAGGTATTAAAAGAAAACATTGCAATAACGCCAATGAAAGTACATACCGACATTTTTTTTTGGAGCACGATTTTTTACACACCCTGGAAATATAATAATTATTATTTTTTCTTACGAATATTGTTTCTTATTTGCCTATTATAAACTTAGTTTTATTTTTAGTTTGTATATTTATTATAAAAAACAAAACTTACCCTCCCTTGTAGCAAGGTTTCGCTTTCTTTGGTCTGTAAAGATAATAATATTTTTAATGGCAAGAAGAGCTAATGTTTTGTGCTCACTAGAAATGTTAATGAAATGTGACCACTTCGTCCAATTAACCCGTAATATAACGGAACTTAGATCAATACGAGACACGATGTATTTTCTATTGTGTCTTATATACCGGCAGTCAAGAGGTTATTGTTACTATCTATTTTTTTATATGCGACAGTAGAGGCCGATTAAGGGACTACAAATCTAACAAGAAACCGGTTAGCAATTTACTCTGACAAGCCTGGAACGTTTTAAACGGCGATCTCTGGCACTTCTCGGAGTGTTACAGGCGGCTTCTATTACACACAAGAGAGCTACTACCTTAGTAATTTAAGGACAAAGTCAGACTCAGTGGCATACATTATATTTATTTATCTTTACATTATTTATATGTAGTTCTTATTTAAAGTTATTCAGAGTGACTGCAATCTAAGCTAAAAAGTAAAGAAAATAAACATACTTGGTCTCTTTCGAAAAGCCTGGTATATGTACAACGTCTGGTACAAATTGATGGTCTCTGTTGAGAACTATCCCGCTATGCGGCTTGAACAACCTGCAAAAATAAAAACAAATAATGAAGCAGTTGTTCAAGAACTGATAATGAACAGATGTTTGAAGGTCTTATTATTCATGAAATCAAAATCATTAAAAAAGACAACAAATGCATTTTTTACAACACTTAACAAAGCTGTAATGATAAGTTTTTTACCAAAAGACACAATAAGTTTATGATTATTCGCTAAAATAAGGAAACAAAAATGTTGAACACGTGACGCGCAGCCGTGGTGCAACCGTGCAACTTAGCGTAATTAATTATACACCAACCGAGATAAATTGAAAGTGTACTAAATAATAGATTCTTACTCATGTCCAGATTTTGGTGGTAGAGGTGGTCTCATTTCCGCCGGTTTTACGGCGGCTCTTTCAGCTTGAATCACCTCCCCACTTATATTCGGACTAAGTATCTAGAAATAAGTAGAACGAAAAATTAATCTGAGTGTTTAATTCCAG